GAGAACTTGGCCCTCGTTTGGGCATCCTCGACGTCAGGCCAGGCATGCTTCAGCACAGCCCAGGAATAGTCTGAGCCCTTGCGCCACTCTTCCTCCCGGATACATTGAGTGGACAACTGGTGACAAAGCATCATGATGGACTTCATGTTGCGAGTATCTCCTGCAGAGGCCAGGCTGTCTATCCAGCCGGGCAGAAGCTCCTGGTCTTCGGGAGACATTCCCGCCATAATGTATTCGGTTTCAGCTGTCGTAGCATCTTGGCTGGGGATCATACCCTCGGTAAGTGTTTCCGCCAAGGACACTGCTTGAGATGAGTACACTTGACCAGATGACTGGTAGTACTTCCACATCTCCAGTGCGAGTGCGCGGTCCATATCGGTCAGATTCATCTCCCGCGCTTCACCCCGCAGCTCCTCGGCACGTTTAAGCATTTCTGGGGACTTGACGCCACCCTCAGCTTCCAAGTCGGCTGAAAGTTCGCGGAGGATGGATGTGGCCCGGTCAGATTGACCCCGACGACGCAGGAATTGCGAGTAGTAGAAAGCAACCTTGGTCTTCTGGTCCCAAGATGTTTTGGAATCAGCCTCGCGTGCCGACAGTCCTGTCCAGAGTCGGGACAGCACGGTCTCGGATTTGGACACTTGACCATTTTGCTCATATAGCTGAGCCAGGTAGAGAGAGTAAGTCACCCGGCGCGGGTCGGTCGCATCCATAGAACGAAGCATGTTTTCATACTTGATGCTGGCCAATTCCAAAGCTAGCTCGTCGGAAGGTGCGATATCGAAGTTCTTCGTGAGGAATTCAGCGGCTTGCATGGTCTCCGACGAGTGAGCACCGTAGGTCTTCACAGTCTGGCGGTAAAAGTCCTTGGAAACGTTATATGCCTCATCATTCTGGTTGTTCTCTCGATACATGTTAACGAGGCGATCAAGATACTGGAGCCGCTGGGGGAAGCTGATGTCGGACTTGCCCCAGCCGGTCATAGTCATTTCTCTCAATGTGACAGACTTGCCTCCTCCACTAGTCAGGCGACCAGCGGCCGGCGAGGATACGAGCATCTGCTCCAGCTCCTGGGTGATTGTGCTGCTAGTTCCCAGCTGACTTCGGCTCACCGTCCAAGCCTGGTAAAGATGATCATTAGCCCAGGAGGTACGCGCCTTCTCAGACGCCCGAGCACTGAGGATCAGACTTTGTAGGACCGCCGGGGAATCGCTTCCGAGCACGACACGGCGGACTCCAACTGCCAGTCGATACAGTTCAACAATACTTGACCGACTGAACTGCGACTCACGGTTGGTAAGCTCCAGCTGGGCGAACAACACAGTGTCGGGCAGAGCGCGGCGGAAGGCAGACGGGAATGAGAGCTCTCGGTCGGAGGAAGCCATCGGTGAGGACAGCATGTGGGAAAGCCAGTACCGGGCGGTATATTCAAGAAGCACATAGGCGTCCAGGTAGCGGTCACGGACCTCCACACTCATTTTGTCCCAGGAGACAGAGATCTCGTCGGATACCGAGCGACGCACCCACGCCAGGCAGCGGATCAGAAGATCGTAGTGGGCATCCGCCAGAGAGAATGGAAGCTCCTGGCGCATCTGGGCTCTAGCCTGGAGGTGCTCGCGGACCATGGGATGGCGGAAAGAAACGAAGCCATCACGCACGGAGATCAGCCGTCCAAGAGGCTGGAAGACATCACGCTCGACATTTGGTGGACGAGCTGAAACCTTGAGCGACTTCAGATCAACAGACAACAGTTGCTCGACCTCTGTGATGCGCAGTGGTCGCTCACTGGCTACTAACCAAGCAAGTAGGCTCTGCGTACCAAGACGGTTGAGGTTGATATTGCGCAGGTGGTAGTCAATGAGATCACCTAACGTGTTGGGCATCCTGTGGACAGCTGTTGTCATTTCATTGTAGGTGGTCTGGTGACGCACTGCCTCAGCGGCAAGCTGTGCCCACACGAAACATCCTTGGGAGCGGTTGACAATAGACGTAGTCAGGGATTCACGCTGGGATGGCTCTAGACCCGAGAAAGAGGAGTCCGAAAGCATAATATCTGTAACGGCTTCTTGGAGATCCTGGTGAGTCGTGGCTGTGTTCATTGCAATCTGGTGCGTACTGGTTGTCTCCTTAATAGGTAATAGGTCTGTCGACATTGGCCGGCTGAAGATGATCAGCTTCGAGGGAGTGTTCGCGACGGTATCCTGAAGCAAGCCGAGGAATGCGCTGACAGTGGTCTCCGCATGTTTCATTTGATCAAACCCATCGACCACTAGCATAAAATGGAGGTTGGATTGGACTGCGGTCCTGATGGCTGTCCATAGCTGGCCTTCCACCTGGGGATCGGAAGCGCCGGATGTGGCCATTTCCATAGCACCGGTAACAGCTGCGAGGATGGCGTCCTGCGTCTTGCGACTGCTCACACAATGATCAAGCATCTGGATCAAAATCCCCTTGAGGATACTGAGAGTCAGTGTCGAGATTGGGACGTCTGACCGGATGACGATGGGGATGACGTTCCAGATATCATACTCCGAGGAGGCTTGCAGCCTTTCTACGGTCCACTGAGCCAAAGCACTCTTTCCGCAGCCCGGGTTGCCCCGGATCATCATCATTCTACGTCTTCCCATGGCAAACGTGGTCAAATGAGGCTCGAACCAGGTGAATGAGCCGTCAGCCAGGGAGTGGCTATGACCTTCGAGTAGCATCTGGAGCGGACGATCCTGAAGCTCCAGGAACTGGTAGATAGCAGGCAGGTCCACGGTAGTATGCTGCTTGGCTGTACCAGACTCGAGGACATGGGCGAAAATCTGCCGCCAGTGGGTTATGAACCGATTTGTATAGCGGAAGAACGCAGCGTCCACGGCAGATGTCATCGTCTGCCAATGCTGGGTCCGTGTAGCCTGACGATATTCCGAGGTAACATGAACAACGAGCTCCAGCAGATGGGCATATATTTCCGCAACCTGCTGCTGAAGGGGCCGTGAAACCGGAAAGAAAGTCTCTTGCTGGAGCAACAGGGAGATGCCCAGTGTGACACGACCGTAACGGCCATACAGGCTCTCCAGGATGTCGATATGATCAATTCCCATCTACGCAACCATGTCAGCCATCCAAACGGCGATACCTTCCACCACAAACCAAAAGACTTACCTCCAGAAAGAGGAGGTTGGTTCCCCAAATCAGCTTGGTGGCTTCCTCAGCCCCGTCCATGAAACTGTAGACCGAGTCCCGAAGGGAGCCAACAGCAACAGCCAGCCGAGAGGCGCGCCGCAAAGCCCCATCAAGGCGACTCCCATCTGGGGGCATACGCCGAAGCCTTTCGGCAGCAATAGTGTCGAAGAAGACATCCAGGGTGGGTGATTTAGCCTGGATTTCATTCGCGGTAAGCCCGAGACGAGTCGGGCACTCCTGAGAGACGGTGTTTACCGTCTCCCGCAGAATTGGGAGAGATGCTGTGCCCCCATTGACAGCAAGGGTTCCCTTAGCACGAGTGGAAGCCATTGCTGTATCATTTCAGAGGAGGTCGAATATGGTAGGAAGCATAGCATTGAGCAATTGGCTTCTCGACGAACGTGGTTGCTGGACGCTATATGAGTTTCCGATTCCTCCGCAAGGGTCGATGATGCGAGGACCAACTCTGTAGTCCGAACCCTGAGCAATGTTGACATCATGGGCTTCTTCCCTCCGGATTGCTTGTCTGCCTCATATCCATAAGGTCAAACTCGAGGAATTGAGTACGACGCGACCGTGGTTCGGGACGATGAGCGAGTCTACTGTAGGCGGTTGATCGCGCAGGGGAGAAGCCCATTCTGGCGCGCTGCCAATAGCCATCGATGGGCCACGTGAAATTGGCGTAGTCGTGGTGTCATGGGCCTCATTGTTGACTCGAAAGTGTGGTTAGGATGCGTCATGGAGAAAGGTGAAAGTCAATGACATCATGAACGTTAAGGGGATTGTTTGCGTGCGGGCTCAACAATGACTCGCTAGGTGAGGTTACGATGTCTTAGACAATTTGAAGTTATATAAACTGGAAGAGACCGATCATGACATTGTTTGTGAAACGTGCCCGTAGCTGCTGCTACGACGGGGATGCCGATAGGGAAGACGGGAGGTGAGTGTCGCAGTCAGGGTTACAGTCGTCATGGCGGCAGAGAGCGCGCTGAGACGAAAGCGGCCCGGAGTCACGGGCTCTCCGTCTCCCCACCAGTTGGCCAGCGATCGAGTTATTTCCCACGAATTTGTTGACAGTTCAATAGTTTCACATAATTCATGTAATATATGGATGTTTCACAGCACTCCTATTGTGCAATTAAGCTGGTCAGATTTCCGCCTTCATCTTTGTGTCGTGATCATTGCAGCAAACTACTACTACCACTCCATCTGCCTAAGAAACCGCCAATTCATCTGCTTCCGGACTGTGTCGGGAATATACTAGCGGATCTGCTGGTGATGGACTCCTAGAATGATCTGGCCCAGAATGATGGATCCCATCCCTGCCTCGGAAATGTCCGGCAGACTGAGCCGGCCATCCACAGTGGTGGTTCCACGGTAGACCCCAGCCCAGTAGTGAGGACATCCCTTGGATCGCCTATCTATTGCATGGCCTTCACAGATATGATTGGGACAGATGGTGATCAAGTCCGAATATGCTGTTGGAAGCTTGGCTGGAAACATGCATGATTCGTCGGAACAGGTGCCAGGGCTATCCACGCCGTAGATCATTTACCCTACTACAGAAAACTATAGTCATCAAACAATTAAAACTGCAAGTGGTTATGTCACCGTCGTCACCCCATTGAGTCCGTCATTCTCCTAGCCCATGCAGCCAGTCCCTCCAGCCACTCCAGGAACGCTCATTAAACCCTTGTAATTTCAGTCAGCGCTGTGCAAGGAGACTATCTGCTTATCTCGCTCACCGTAAATAATGGCATCTACAAAGCCCTGTGACATAATGCAGATCTAGACCTGGGTTAATAAGGTTCAAAGAAGGCCATCGTTTTTTATTTTTCGATCACCTTTTCTAGAATCTCTAGTGCCAATGGAGCGCGCTTTCCCGTCACTCCTTGATAGATGCGCACGGAAGTGGGGATGATCCAGATCAATGCATATACGGTCGGATATACCATCATTTGGAGTGAGACCTAACCATTCGATCATTGGGATGAGACCGGCAAACACCGATACTAAGGTGACTAACCTTCTTCAGTGGAATCGCCGAATGAGAAGTTGGGCTAGGTCCGTCACCGATATCCAGAAGCCGCCATTGGTGTGGATGCGGCGTCTGCAGAGTAACTTCTTGGTCGCTCGAGAGGGCTTTATGAGACCGGTAGAGGAAGAGGCATAGTCGGGTGTAAATGCACAGGATGACAAGGATGATAGTCCATCGTGGAATGAAGTTCACGAAGAGTCGGACACGATCACTGGTGAACCAGCACCCTGATCTCTATCAATCGTGCGTCTCGAGACCATAGAGCCAAAGAGGACATACAGCCACCGGCATACCCATATCCGACGACGACAAGGCCAAGCACAGCCCATAGGACTGAGAGACCCCATGGGATGCACCAGAGAGCGATTTTATGGTTCTGGACCCACGAGGCAGCGTGGACATAGTCCATCAGTATGAGATACGTGCAGATTGCAATCGAAAGAATCCAATAGTCGGCTAGCAGTACTGACGGTTAGTATGTTACCGTCAGGAATGAATATATGGAGTCTTACTCTGCACCAGAAATGTCTGAGCCATGAGTCCATTGAAGCTGCAGAATGTCTTGAGGGAAGGATTCCATATCTCGATGCCCGAGGTATTCAGACCAGCTGAGACGACGACATTGCTTGCGGCTAGGAATTCACTGATTCCGAGACCTGAATCCGTCAGTGGCAATTATATTGCATTATCCACGGAAAGACAGCACCTAAAATCAATTGATGACGGAAAGTTCGCAGACTGGGTATAACCTGATGCGTGTCAGCAACAGACAGGCGGGCAGATGCCTTGATCCAATACTCACAAGGAAGCTGATAATGATCCATCCTGACCCTACCATGGAGGCAACCGAAACTACGAGAATAATTCGCGAGAGAACCTCCTCTGATTCCATCTGTATGGGTGCGGAGAGCGCAGCGTACTCCATCAGCAGTGAAGATATCAAATCACTCGTGTGACATACTGCGAATCTGTTCGAAGAGAAGAAAAAAGATCAGATGTTCATGAGAAAGGTGGGACATTGCAAGGTAGATATCACGACTACTATCGGGCACCTCCTATTATGAACTTCAAGCGCCCGCGGAGTTGGCCATCCCACTCCCAGAAACGCCGTGGAGATCGGCCGTGCTCCCAAATAGATGGTTAGAAAAAGCAAATCTGGATCGCGTGCTTAGGCAGGTGGTCGTTGCGTATACTTAGTGCGAAGATCGCGCACCAGCATTCCAAGTATAGGATTGAGAAGATCGAGTGTACAGTGTGATAGACTATCACAAGATGTGATCCCAACGGGACGAAAACGCAATGAAGCCATGTTCTGTCTCTGTTGCTTGAGTGGGAATTGCTCTTTGATTCTGTTGGCTGTTCTGCACATAAATGTCCAGCCTTAGGTATGTGTTGTATAACTCAACTCGAGGCTTCCCCGAGATTGATGGCGCGAGATACGGCAACCAAGTGAATCTCTAATCCAGGGGTAGCCTGAAGCACGGATGCTCCCTTATCGTGCCGGTTCACTCGATCAGCCAATCCAGCTGCAAGATTGCGGATATTGCTTTGGCGTTGTGTATTTGCTTTTTCCTCGACGATCATCAGCGTCGCTATCGCGATGAGGCTGAGCAGTCGCCCAAGTTTGAGGTCTTTTTACTACCCAATGACCTTTCCAATGGTGCATTGTCACATTGTGAGAATACGATAGGGGTTGGGCTGTAACCCCCATGCGATGTTGCGCATAGATGACAAAATGTGAACCTGCTCTAATAGTGCATTTGTCCACTGATGAAGAAGAAATCACATTCTAAAAATGCTGCGCAGCCATTTTGGAGCTGGTCCAAAGAGCTATGATGATGGAATTATATTTAGCCACTATCTATGTCGTGCAAGATGCCCAGCTAGGGGATCTGCACAATGCATCTTCTCCCACCCCTCTTGGTCCCAGCACAATGGTCTTAGTTCCCTTGGGTCAGCGGCTCTGGCTCGTATCCAACATAGGCTGTAGTCAATTGGTGGCGCACCCACTATGACGTACCAAATTAGCCTGTCCCTTGAGAAGGAAGAACGTGAAGCATGCAATTCGTCTTACCTCCCCCGCTTTGAACGGCTTCTTGCACGCAGGACTATCCTCGGTAATGCAGCTCGGCAGCACCGCCACAGTGGTGTCATAGTCCACACCAAAGAAGAAGGGGATGGTATATCGCTCCCGTCCGGTCAGGTTGGTGACGCGATGGATGGTCGATTTGAACTTTTTATTGGTCCTGTACACATGATTATACCTTGTAAGACGTTAGAATCTACTGAAGACAGCAATACATACCAGATGGACAGGCAGTCCGAGATGTTCACTACCAACGTGCCAGGAATGGGCGGCGCCAGGACCCATTCCTGTCGAGCATTGAGAACCTGCAAAGCCGGAACTTGATCTTGTGAGAGTATAGTAAAACATTCATAATCCTGAAGAACATGTATTTTTCGAGTCAGTAAGCACCTCGCTTCGTCATTTCGGGCAATTACTTACCGTGTGTTCTCCAAGACCGACTTTCACCTCGCCCGCGACCGGCTGCGGTGGATAATGCAACATCCTCGACGTGGCCCCGGGGTTCTTGACCATCGGGTCGAAGAAGTCCTCGGGTAAATCCAGTGCTAGCGCAAAGATTCGTATCAGCGCCCGAGATAAGGTCAACGCCTCAGCAAAGTATCGAAGATAGATTTCGCGGAACCGAGGAAGGACATCCTCCTCAGGCCACTGGTTATCCCCATACAGATCATACGTGTCTGGAGGAAGGGCGTCATGTTGACTCTTTAAAGGATCGGCTGCGACTTCATAACCGATATCGAAGAATTCAGAAAAGGCCCCGGGTGAGGAAGGGTCTGGCTTGGGGACGGTCCCGAGATCTGTGTCAGTGGGCTGCTCTGAGTAGAGTGGCATAAAACCGCGAAATTTCTAAATCGAAGATCAGTAGATTGTCGCTGAGAGGCGAGAGGTGAAATGCCACCCTTGATCTTCCAATATAATAATCCATCTTTTGCTTCTGCGACAGAGTGAAGAATTGACGCGCCATGTCGTGGAGGGAAGTGATGAGGTCCTCAGCTATTCCATGATTCTGTGTCATACTCAGGTACTCTGCCTCCATCCAACTGGCTAGGGATGAAGCATACCTTGATGTAGAAAAATCCAACCTGCGTACAGGCAGTGAAGATCTCCTTTGCCAGCTGTTGGCGCTCCTTCAGCACGGGACTCCTTAATGCCGAGAGGTCGATGATAGGGATGTGATCGAAATTCCCTGGACTTGCGTTGCTAACTGACATTGTTTATTGCTTAACTATGCAGCGTCTTCCAGCAGGAAAATAGAGGATTTAAGGTTGCAAAATCCTCCTCTATGTTAAGTGAAAGGCAGTAATGCTATCTCGGCAGGGGACCATCGGTTATCACCCCGCACGGAAAGTCCGCTTATCGGTCATGGGGCATGATAAGATCGCTGATTATCCCTTATGCATAGTCTGTCCCTCTGCACCTGGAAATCCTACTCATCCAAACCTGTGTACTGGCATGGGCGCTGTCTGAATTATAGGTTGTGATGTGGAGTTATCGTGGCTGAACGAGACTATTGCCTTGGCTATATTATGTACGCCGATATTACGATACATGAAGGGACAAAGATCATCCATTCCACCAAGGTTTCCTATGCCAGTATCTCAACCATACCTGCCAACCTTCTCTAAGTCTTCTTTGTGATGCATTCTCGAGATACTATTTGTGGTAGTAATCTAGCCCCACTTTGGAGTGGATCCATTCCCAATTCATCCAAATTTCCCCAAATCTTCGGCCACACCCTCAATTACCAAACGATTAACCAACAGCTTTGTGCATCGGATCCCCCCATAATGATCTTTCCAACGGCACTATGACAGCTTTGCGTCTCCCAGTTGAGCTCATCGAACAGATTGTGGGCCACCTTGACTGTGCAAGTGATATCAATGCCCTCGCTCGTACTCATGGAACTTTCTACCGCGTCGTGAATCGAATGCTGTACCGACATGACGTGCACAATAACAACAGCTCTGCATTACCCTGGGGAATTGAGCACAGATGCCTCGTAACTGTGCAGAAATCTCTGGAGGCCGGTGCGTCGGCGAACGAGTGTGATCGGGACACACTCTGGCGACCCATGGCGTTGGCGGTGATAGAGGGCGATGAAACCATTGTCCGGTATCTGTATGAGCAGGGCGGAGTCGACATCCGTCACACACGTAGGTGGCTCAATCCGCGCCATGAGGCGTATGAAAAAAGTTCTGGAAGTCTGTTGTTGCTGGCCGCCGTACATGGCCATGAAGCCCTGGTCCGCTTCTTCATGGATCACCTGCCGCGGCCGTACCATGTCGATTACCCTGCCGACCCGGACGGACGAACACCCCTTATGGAAGCTGCTGCGGGGGGACATTTAGCCATTGTGCGGTGGCTGGTCGATGCCGGAGCAGACATCCACGCCCGGGATCATGAAAAATGGACCCCCCTCTTGCTATCTGCGCGCGAGGGCCATCTTGAGGTCATGCAGTTCCTGCTCCAACGGGGAGCTGATCCTAGTATTCCCATGGAACCGGACGGATGCTTCGCCCTGTGTTGGGCAGCGCGCCTGAGTCACTTCGAATGTGTCCGGTGTCTGCTCGATGCGGGCGTGCTGGACCAGTTAACCCGCTGCCAAGGCTCAGATTTGCCGTCGTCCCATCATGTTACGATGTGTCCCCTCAAGTCAAACGCACAATTTAAATGCGACAACGTAGTTGATCTTCTCTTCGGACGATGGGATTACCTGGCTAGCACCGTTGAGCTCGCACAGGACGGTTATCCAGCATTAAGACATGCCATCCCCTTCGAGGGCATATTCCGTCACCTGCTTGCCGCCGGGGCTGATCCTACCGCCGTAGACCGCCCCGGTGATCCTTTACCCGCCATCGTTCTGGCATCAGGTCGCACTGCATTAGTCCAGATGATGATCGATAAGGGAATCGATCTGCCGTGCCATATGGACCTGGCCAATTTTCTTCACCAAGCCATCCGCGGGGGGCCGGCGGTTCTCGATCTGCTCGTCCGGACGGGGAGATGGAATAGCTACATCTTCCCAGAGCACTTGGACAAAACCGCATGCGAGCAGGCCCTCGTGATCGCGGCTTCTACGGGGAAGATTGAGACACTTCAGTGGCTGCTAGACAGAGGCTTTTCGGTGGCTCAGTTGTCGCCCACTGTCAACTTGATCGCTGAAGCAGCATGTACAGCTGCATCCGATGCAGACGCCACCGAAACCATCGATCTGCTGCTTCAACACGGCTTGGATATAAACAAACGCATCCAAAAAAACGTTGACTGCGAGACAGCATTAGCACACGTGGCCTATCACTACAATCTGCATATGGATAGCGACACCGGCCGCGTTCGCCTGCGCATGCTGGTCGATCGCGGCGCCTATCTCCTGCCACCGCGCAGCCCTTCCGAGCGATACAATCCTTATACATCCACTACTGCAGTTTGTGTTGGTGTGAGCTCTGTGTTGGATGAGATGATATTTCAGGAGATGGAAGCCCGGCGTGAGACGTGGATAGCGGTGGAATGGCTCTTCCAGCGCGCTGAGCTCCATGCGCGTGACCGCTGGGATTGGGAGGGGGTTAAGATGATAAAACGGTATTCGTGGAGGGTGCGGTATCCTGTACCTAAATGATATGATACTAGTACATTAAACTGTCACGACCGCATTTATTTTTTTCTATGATTAACACTACCAATATTTCCTACGTCAAGGGGTCTATAAAATGGTTATAGATATGCACAGGATACATTCAGCCGGATCTCACGCACTAGTGCTCGCCATCTTTCTCATTTGCGACTAGTATCCTCAAGGCTCTGTGTTATGCCCACTATAAACTCAACATAGTTACTAAATCCTTGACAGCAATCAATCCTAGATAATACTAATAGAGGTTGCTTATCTTAAACACTACATAGTCCCAAAAGCCGAGGAATTAATTGACTGAAACTACTATAACAACGGGATGGGTGTCCTTACCCAGTCCAATGTAAGCTAGTCCCACCACCTAAGGCGTAACGATATTGAAGTTCGGATCACCCGGGTCCAACAACGACGCAAGCGTATCCAGCGCAGTAGTATCCCCATCAATCACAATACCAGCATTCACCAAAGCATCAGGATCAGGTCCATACACAGCCAGCGCAGTCAACTGCTTAGCCGTACCAGTCAGAGTGACCTGAGCAGCGTTCGACTGGTCAGCAGTGCTGTAGACGAGAGCCCCGTTAGACAGCCAGGAATGGTACGTCTTATTATCTTGATCCGAAACAACAAGATCCATAAGCACCTTCTTATCCCACGCCTCGGGCCCATTAATCTTGATAGCGAGAGTATCAAGGACCATATCCGGGGTAAGCTGACCGAGCACATCGGCCGCAGCTGACTGCGTAGGCGTGCCGAAATTGCCATTGCGCAGCTCGGTCGTTCCGGAGATATAGAAGTTCCTCCAGGTGCCGTTTTCGGCGCCATATCCGAGCTGCTCGTACACATCTGCTAGTTTCTTGCAGGCTTCCTCGTTGTCCGGGTTATTGAAGACGGCATGACTCAGAAGCTCGGCTGCCCAGCGGTAGTCGCCTTTTAGGTATGCCTTGGTACCCTCTTCGAGAACCTTGTCCTCGCCGATGAGATCCACGTATCGGTTGGCCTTGTCGACGGGGGTATGTTCCCACAGGTGGGCTGGGTTGCCGTCGAACCAGCCGACGTAGCGCTGGTAGATGGCCTTGACGTTGTGGCTTAGCGAGCCGTAGTAGCCGCGGCAATACCAAGACTGATCAAGAGCTGGGGGCAAGGTAAGCATTTCGGCAATCTCGGGGCCATTGTATCCTTTGTTCAGGAGGCGGAGAGTTTGGTCGTGCGCGTATGCGTATAGGTCACGCTGGTAGGTGAGAAACTTTAAGATGTTGTCGTTGCCCCAGGTCGGCCAATGGTGCTGGGCGAAGACGACCTCGGCTTGGCTGCCGTATCGGTCGATGGTCTCTGTGAGGTACTTGGCCCAGGAGTGAGGGTCGCGGACCACCGCACCGCGCAGGGTCAGGATGTTGTGGAAGGTGTGTGTGGCGTCCTCAGCGGCGCAGAGTGCGTTAAGGCTGGGGAACCAGATGAGCATTTCAGAGGGCGCTTCAGTATTCGGTGCCATCTGGAACTCCATCTCGATACCATCGACGGTTCTCTTTTCGCCGGTGCGTCTGACGGTCATATTGGGTGCGATGAGGGTGACGACGCCAGTTGAGGTAGTCTGTCCAAGTCCAGCGCCAATCTGGCCCCTTGGTCCTTGCTCGAGGGCAGCACCGTACATGTACGCGGCGCGGCGACTCATTGAGGTACCGGTGTAGACGTTCTCAGACACAGCATGCTCTAGGAAACCCTCGGGGGCGATGATCTTGATGTCATTTTTCTCGACATCGTCTTCACTGACGAAGCCTTTGACACCGCCGAAGTGGTCAACGTGAGAGTGGGTGTAGATGACAGCCTTGACGGCTCTGTCAGTGCCACGGTGCTTCTGGTAGAGAGAGAGTGCAGCAGCGCCGGTCTCTTGCGAAGTGAGGGGGTCGATGACAATGATGCCCTCATCGCCCTCGATAATGGTCGTGTTGGAGAGATCAAGCCCGCGCACTTGGTAGATGGGTCCGGCGACATGGTATAGTCCATTCATGCGAGTCAGTTGCGACTGGCGCCACAGACTTGGGTTGGCCGAGTATGGGGCGTCGTCCTTCAGGAAGTCGTAGGCATCGTTGTTCCACACCACATTGCCCTGGGCATCAATGACCTGGTTGGGGTCGCCGAGACTACCTCTCCAACCACGTTTAGCGTTCACGAAGTCTTGAGTGTCATCGAAGGGCAGACTCTCTTTGACCTCCTTCCACTGCTTGACGATGTGTAGGCTTGGAGAGTTCGACTCCTCGGACTTGATGGTCGACTGTGTCATGATGAAAATCGAATTGATTAGCCCGAAGCGTGAGTTGGTTTGAAGTAAGAAGATTGATGTTCTGGAATTGCTGCTGCTGCTGTTGTTGTTGTTGATGATGATGATAATGATGATGATGGAGCGATTGAGTTCACGGGTCCATCGAAACTTATTTATCTCTCCGGGGGGCGAATTTTCCCCTCATTTTGTATTGCCCAAACGGCACACATACAGACATTGACGACATCGACTTTTGATAATTTAGATCCTTAACGATGCTGTTGCTGTGTCAATGTAACCATGGCTCGTATACCAGGATGTTGAGTAGATTGAAGATAGATTGCAAGAAGTAGATGGAACAGGCTTCCCTCCGATCTGACTGGCCAACAACATTTGACTTCTTGGACCAGGGTCCAACGCCGTCATTTAATTAGCCTGCATTAGCTTCGCTCAACTTTTCAGCTCGGACTTCAGCTGAGGTGGAGATGCACCTGGCCATGTAACCCTTCATGCACGCCAAGAACACCCCCTCTTTTACGCGATCGAATGGACGAAGCCACGATGATCAGGGTCCTGCAGCAGCTCATATTGGCTGTGCTCAGCTGTGTAGATCTGCACCCATCCAAGATGAAGGTTCACCTCAAATAGTATAACATCCATACATCGTTGGGATGACAGCAAGGGTTCCCCCCTTCCAGTCAACCAATTGGCTGGATCTCGTGTGTCATAGCAGAGTCCTGCTAGATGAAAATCTGCACGATCTGCGAAAAGAAAAAGCAATTAGAATCACGCTGATGCGATGATGGATCCTAGTGCGTGATAGATCATGATCCAGTTATCAATGCGACTCCGGTTTCGACACTAAACGGGGACGCCAGCGTGGTCTCAGGATCGTGATTGCGTCCTCAAACCTCGCACAAACTGTTTGCCTGTTACACAATCGCATCTCATAATGGCGCCGGTAAATTGCCGCACCGGTCAGCTGGATCTTCAGCTTTCTTTTCTTCTTGTTCTTGATCACACAGGATATTAGTGGCATGTGGGTGGCGATGAAGTCCTTAAGCCTCCGACTTAAATAGGGCCACTTCCCCCCGTCTCACTCTCGTGAACCAGACACACCAGATTACCCATCAACATTACACCTACTACACTCTTCTATCCAAGCCGAACCAATCAATCAATCTAGTAAGCCTTAGCATCAACTAGAAGAAAAGATGGCTGAAATGGACCAGCTCAACAGGTGAGCACACGTCCCATCCATCTCGGAAATCCAACCCGAGAGAAGAAATAAATCGCAGGACGGAGAACAACCAACAAGCACAAGATTTCTAACACTTCATCCAGCAAGCAAGAAATTAACAGTGCCATCGCCAATAACCAGTCATTTGTCTTGATGTTCACAGCTATTTGGAGTGATGTCGGCAGATTAACGAAGAGCAACTTCGAGAGGTATGAAAATTGCTTGGATTGGCTTAACTTTCCTTTTGCAGTCTCGAATGAGGCATTACATCGTCTTGTTTTGATACGTATTTTTGTGATTGCTTGATAATGACTGGAATTCATAGAATCGGTGCCAAATACCCTTCCGTGTACATGGCCTGGGTCAGCACCGATGATCATCCCGAGCTGGCCGAGGAATGGGGATTCACTGCTATTCCGGCTACCGTTGCCTATAAGAATGGCGACAAGGTGGACTACTTCATCGGGCCTCAGTACTTGGATGAGCAGGTTGAGAACTTTATCAAGAAGACGCTCTAAGACAGGGGGAGGTTTCTTTTCCGCGGTGTGATTCGTTATCCAGGTATTACCGTGGATGCCATGCGGATTTGATCTGCTGTGTTTGAAACAACCCACGTATTGGACGGCGTGCTTTCATTTTGTATATTCGCCTGCTAGACTATACTACCATGACCTATATACTGTGATATCAGAACATGAGAAGTTCATCATGAAGATCCGCTAGATACTAAGTGAAAATGTGGCATCACCCGACCACTCTAACCGCTCTGGTAATCTCACAACCGTCGAGTCTCCTTCAGTCGCAGCTCTACGTCACGTATAGCCGACCACTGAGTCCCATTCTGCGTGCTCCTGATCATTTTCCAAAAGCTTACGTCGGGATCTTGATCCATTGAAGACATGCGCTCCGCAAGATCATCCTGCTGCCTCTTGTGCAACTCCAATTTGATCGCCTCCACCGCGATTCCAGCCCCAGCGTTGGTGTTCATCATGCCCTCGTAATGCGGCCACCTGCGCAAGGCATCAACGGCTCGAAGGCGGATGCCAAGGTCTGGACATTTCGATGCCACAGCGAATAGCCCAAAGCTCAGTCCGTAATCCAGTGTGATAGTGGGGCGGCGGGGAAACTTGTCCATGAATTTCTCGTATCCTAATAATAGATTGCTGTATTCCAGAGTGAGCAATTTGTGGTCATACACGTCAAGCAGGCACGTTTTCAGTACGATTATCTTCCCAACCAGTTGGAGCCGCACGATATCCGCACCTATTTGCTCTTTCGCGTTAAGAGTGGCATATTTTCGTTGGTAAAACAGCTCAAACTGCTCTGCAAGGTGCTTCAGCGAGGTTAACAGCCTCGTTCGCTTGGTCCATAGGGGTTCGTAATTCGCTAGTATCTCTCTCTGTGGAAGTCTCCAAACCGTGGCAATGAACGGGACCACGCTATACATGACTCGCTGAAAGCATTGTCGCGCTACTTTCAGATTATCAAATTCTTCTAGCAATCCAATATCACTTTCACTCTCCTCCTCGCTTTGAATGCATGATTTTGATCCAAGATCTCTGACATGTGACGACTGGGAATTTAAGACGCGGAATGTTTCAGAAAGACAAGGAATAACAGGTATCCCAAGGCGTAGCGACTCCTCGAGAATTCGTGTGCCACTACGTAGGTGTACAA